TTTGGCACCTGCCCACACTGCCAAAAGCACCAAAATTTGGTTAAATGACCATGGTGTTGGTGTGCTTGACTGGCCAGCAAACTCACCAGACCTTTCCTATTGTCAAGAGGAAAATAAGAAACAAGAGACCAAAAAATGCAGATGAGCTGAAGGCCACTGTCAAAGAAACCTGGGCTTCCATACCACCTCAGCAGTGCCACAAACTGATCACCTCCATGCCACACCGAATTGAGGCAGTAAATAAAGCAAAAGGAGCCCCTACCAAGTACTGAGTACATGTACAGTAAATTAACATACTTTCCAGAAGGCCAACAATTCACTAAAAATGTTTTTTTTTATTGGTCTTATGAAGTATTCTAATTTGTTGAGATAGTGAATTGGTGGGTTTTTGTTAAATGTGAGCCAAAATCATCACAATTAAAAGAACCAAAGACTTAAACTACTTCAGTCTGTGTGCATTGAATTTATTTAATACACGAGTTTCACAATTTGAGTTGAATTACTGAAATAAATGAACTTTTCCACGACATTCTAATTTATTGAGATGCACCTGTAGTAGCAATCAGCATTTTCTGTGGCATTAGTGACAGAGCGCAGTGCACTTATTTGAGAAAAGCTTGGTTATATGGCACTGTTATTTCACATTTTAAATATCAGAAGTTTTCTTGTGATGTACTAAAATAAGTATTGCATATTTCACTTGTATTGGTATCGACTACTAAAAATTTGGAGCCAAACTAACCTTTGGTGATTTGGTGCTAATTGTTCTGTGGGTGGAGGAGTGGTATATCAGGATATGATAGGTGTTGCTGATTGTATGTGTGTTTTCTTTTTTGTAGGGTGAGTGAACTCCTGCAGGGTGGAGCTGTAATGAATAAGAGTTTTCAGCCCCATGAAGCTCACATTCCCTTCCTGCTGCAGCTCTTTATCGATTACAACCTCTACGGAATGAACATGATCAGTCTTGCTGCTGTTAAGTTTCGAAAAAACCATGCAACAGGTAACACACACATGCACACAATTAGCCTTAAATAGGGGAGGGCGATATAACCAAAATCTTATATCACAATACAAGTAATTTTTCATAATAACGACCCATGCTGGCAAAATGAGTCACAATGAACAAATTTTCATAAATGAGTTTTGTTAAAACCTTCAAAATGTATGATTTATTGGAATCGGACAAAAAAATGACTGAGCTACACTTATTTGAAATTGATAGAGTCAGCAATTTTGTTCATTTTGTTCAAACTGAAATCACTTAGCAACCATACCTTAAAATCTAATACCACCAAATTCGGTACACCACATCAAAACCCATAACTCCCCCTCCCCCCCATGATACCACAGTGCACAGTGCGGGGTGCTTTGACCAATCACAGAAGAGCTGTCTAGAGGTGTCAGTCTTCACTTGCCTCATGACTACAAAGTCACAGGAACATAACTGAGGTTTTTTTAAATGTTTTTTTATTTTTGTGCTTTTGGAAATGTATCTTTACTCTCTCTAATTATTAAATTTTTGAGATTTTGAGCACAAAGTGTGCTTTCTGCAAATATGATTGTTGCATGTGTAATTCTTTAGTTAATGTATTTTAATTTAATATCGGGGGGTGTAGTTTCACTCATGTGATATAGTTAAGGTGTGTGGGAATTACTGCATTGTGATTGCAGAACTTTTGTAAATGTTTAAAATTGTGTGCAAGACAGTCTCACACCCCGTTCAGGCCCTGTTATGTCATATAACAGTATATAGACCTTATGCCCCAAAGAAACAAGTGCACATCTTTAGAATTCTGTCTTCAAACTTCAGTTTTTGCAGTATCACTATAGCATCACTGTTGAAGAGTAATTAGCTGGTGAAGGGATTTACTTATTGTATAGTTAATGAAAGATATCATGTGCATTTTAATGTTTGAAGCATAACAAATATCAGTAGACCCAAAAAATGTTATGGTCATTCTTAAATTCACACTACCTTGCTGTGGAAATACAAACTGGAAGACAGAAGACAACAAGCGCAGCACTGAAAAGGGGTGCCCAATTATTTATTTAATTTAATTTTTTTAACATGTCAAACCTGTTCACAAGTCAAGACTGAATCAAACTCAGACATCAGCGATCTGACAACTCACTTCCTCACTAAGTTGTCACTCATTGTATACTAATAATTATACAGTTAGGTCTATATATATTTGGACACAGGCACAATTTTTATTATTTTAGCTGTTGACTAAAACATATTTAAGTTAGTTATATAATGAATATGGGCTTAAAGTGCACACTCTGAGCTTTAATTTGAGGGTATTCTCATCACAATAGGAGGAAAATGTAAGTAATTACAGCTCTTTAATATGTACCTCCCCCCCTCCCCTTTTTCAAGAGATCATATATAATTGGACAATTGACTCAAAAGCTGTTTTATGGACATATGTGTGCTATTCCTTCATTATTTCAACATCAATTAAGCAGGTAAAAGGTCGGGAGTTGATTCTAAGTGTGCCATTTGCATTTGGAAGCTGTTGCTGTGAACCCACATCATGTGGTCAAAGGAGATCTCCATGCAGGTGAAAAAGACAATTGTTAGGCTTCAAAATCAAAACAAATCCATCAGAGAGAGAGAGAGAGCAGGAACATTAGGAGTGGCCAAATCAACAGTTTGGTACATTCTGAGACAAAAAAAGAACGCACTGGTGAGTTCAGCAACATAAAAAAGCCTGGGCATCCATGGAGCACAACAGTAGTGGATGATCGGAGGATCCTCTCCATGATAAAGAAAAACATCCAGTCAAGTGAAGAACACTCTCCGGGAGGTAGACGTGTCACTGTCAAAGTCTACAATCAAGAGATGACTTCAGGAGAACAAATACAGAGTGTTCACCACAAGGTGCAAACAAGGCCAGATTAGACTTTGCCAAAAACACCTAAAAAAGCCATACCACTTCTGGAAAAGCATTCTTTGGACGAAAAAAAGTGGATTATTCTGCAATGGCCAAGTCAATCTCCTGATCTCAACCCGATTGAGCTGCATTTCACTTGCTGAAGACAAAACTAAAGGCAGAAAGACCTGCAAACAAACAACTGAAGACAGCTGCAGTATAGACCTGGCAAAGCATCATGAAGGAGGAAACCCAGTCTCTGCTGATGTCCATGAGTTCCAGACTTAAGGCAGTCATTGCCTGCAAAGGATTCTAAACAAAATATCAAAAATTAACATTTTATTTATTATATTATCTATTATTATAGATTATATTTATTTGTCCAATTACGTTTGAGCCCCTGAAAATGGGAGGACTTTATAAAAGTGGTTGTAATTCCTAAGCTTTTTATGTTATGTTTTTGTTCATTTTGTTCTATTCTGGTGGCATACAGACTCTTTGCCTACAACTTGCACCTTTAATACTACTTGTTTCTGATTCTGTAGTAGGAGAGCATATGTCAAATAGAGGGGGTAGCTCCAGCCCATATAAGTATCCCTGCATGTCTAAACTCAGTGATGGCGGGCTGAGTGATACAATGCGCTGGGAGGATGACAACATACCAAGGTGTGTCTGTGTTTTTGCTATACATCAATACATACAAGCATTGTATGGCATTTTGACCTTTATTTCATGTGTGGTATGTGTTTTTGCAGTTCTCTGATTTTAGAGGAGGTGGAACGGATGAGTGTGTGTGAGCTGGAGGTTGATGCCGTGGCTGCTGATGTTCTCAACCGCCTAGAGATTGAGAGTAAGGATTGGTTGATTTGTTTGTTTGTGTGTGTGTGTGTGTGTGTGTGTGTGAGAGAGAGAGAGAGCGCAAATCCCTGTCTACACTGGGTAATAACAGCCATGATTGCATAAATCAAGGGATTTAAAATATGGCCATACAGAATAAGACATTATAATTACTAATAAACAGCCAATATGCTAGTAATATGTGTGCTAATAAGCAACTAGTTAATAGTAAGAATCTCTCTAAAGTGAGTGACACTTGTATACACTAATAAAGTACTTTCAAATCATTAACAAACTATTAGTTTATAGTTTATTCATAGTTTATGTATTGTAGTCTCTACATTTGTTAATATATTAATAGGCTTATATACTGTATATTGAGTTCTTCATTTTCACTGTAATTAACACTTTAACACTATTATTTAATTAGGTCGTAGTAAAGGAATTGTTAATTGGTTATATATACACAATATACAGTTTGTGGAATTTGAAGGAACACTTAATAACAATGCAGTTAATGTAAAGGTTGTAAAAATGTAAAAGTAAAGGTCTGTTTAAAGAACTTGACACTTGAGAAATGCTATTTCTGGATTTTCTGTTACCTAATCTAAAGTGAAAACTATTTACGGTTAAAAGCTGTCAACAAAGCATTATCTACCTCTCTACATATGAGCTAATAAAACAATAATTGTGTTAAGTACAGTGACAATGAATGAAGAACTCACTATTTGTACAGTCTATTAATGTATTAACTACAGTTTATGAACTATGAATTAACTATAAACTAATAAACTATAAACTAATAATTGTTGTGCATACTTAATTTATATAGTGTATATAAATTGTTACCCTAAAGCAGTGGTTCCCAATCCCAGTCCTCACGCCCCCTCACGGGATTGGGAAACGCTGCCCTAAAGGGTTACTGCAAGGCAAGCATGTATATGACCTATTTTTCAGCGATATTCAGTATGAAATTTAACTGTTTGATTCATAATTATATTGGCTCAGATAGATTGCTTATACAGATTTTTTTTTTTTTTTTTGACTGACTACTCTGTTACAAAATTTTAGTTTAAATGTTCATAAAATTAGTTGTTTTATTTAGTTGTAAAATTAGAAAAGCAACATGGTAAAATCAAACTTTGTTGGAATCAACTGTGCACATTAAGTCTCTCTGGAGTTGTGTTATTTGTGTAGTAAATTTTATGAGTATGCTTTTTTTTTTATTTATTAATTTTGTTTATTTTGTGCCCAGATCAGATTGGGAGAAACCCTGGTCTTCAGGCCATCTGGGATGATGAGAAACAGCGACGACAGGAGAGATGTCAAAGTTCTCATATTGACATGCCTGAATCACAAGGTGAGAAAAGATCTTGTATGGAATTTTTTATTTTTTTTTTGCAGCACCACTATTAATATTGTTTACGATGTTGCGCGATGGCTACTGTTTCAGATCGAGGCTTTGTAGAGTTTGCAGAGAGTGAAAAAATCTTCATGAAGAGATTCAAAGAAATTCTCAAGGAAAATGAATTTGACATGTGAGTGAAGTTTTCCATATGTTTCTAATAAATGTGTTTTCCATCTCCAGGTTGGAAGCAAAAGAAATAAATTGTGAATTTCTGTCTAACAAAGTGTACAATAGAAATTGAGGGACAAAACGTTTCAATGCAATGTTATAATCACTACCCACGGTCCTGACAGCTGTATGGAAACCACCTCTATGCAAAAAATTGAAAAAGCAGGTACAACCATTTGTAACACACTAGTGCAAATAATTTTATCATTTACCATGCTTTACTCTTCTAGTTATTTACCTATAGAGACTAATGAATCAGAAATCTTGTACATTTACAGAAAATAGCTTAAGCTTAAGGCAAGTCAGTTCACTGAATTGAGATTTCCAAAACTGTTTTAAAAGTTTCAATGATATATTTTGAGTAAGCAATACAATGTCAACAATAGTACAACATTTAGTATATTTCCTAAGTTGTGGTTCTATCAAAAAGGTGACTGAAGGACAGAGGTTCCATTTCTACAGTTGCTATATTAAGCATTAATTAGGTGTTCTTTTTCCGTCTCCTCTGGAATTAGGTATGTTGTCAAATGTTGAATTCAGCTTAGCTAACTGCAAGGGTAATTGGCTGCAGTTAAACAGTGAGACATTAACATTACTAGAGAAATACATCAACATAGCACCAGCCAACAGAGGTATGTGCGCTTCAGTCCTCCACACTCAAGTTTAATGAATCAGCTTAGCTTTTATCTTGGGTCATTGTTGATGGTAACAAGAATAAATTATCAATCTTGAGCTCCACCCAACATGATGTCAGAGTCTAAAGAAAAGAGAGAATACAAAGAAGGAGCAAAATACAAATATACCTCTTCACAAATCAAATGTATAACATACAAATAAAATAAAATATATGTCTTAGGACATAACACAGCCCAAACCCACACATGCATAAACCCACACACACGCACACCATAATCTCTGGTGAAGGTGTAAGGATGCTAATAGAAGTAGGTGGAATGAATGTTTGCTGCATTGAATTGCTTGAGAGTGGGCAGGCAGGGCTTGATGTTTATCTTGTTTTGTAGGACTCAAACTGGGTCTGAAGTTGACTCTTTCCCTGAGCTCTCACTCTATCCTACTGTGCTGAGCCCAGATGACTTGCCTTGCATACCTGCCAGCCAAGTGAATGTGCATCAATATGCATTTAAAGGTGAGGTGCACAGTCTCAAGTAACCCCTTGACCACATATACAATTACTCTCAAAAATAACAGTACAATTTTTAAAAGTCACGCCAGGGGCCCAGTTACGATATTATAAATATATGAAAGGGTTGATTATTGATTTCCAGCTGTTGAAATATTAAAGGCAGTGTTGACAGCTTTAGTCTACAGCTACAAACTTTTGCTGTAGTCCATTTAAAAATGTTAAATACACATTTATTTTGAACTTTTTTTTTTAACCAAGATATCAGTCAAAATACTGTAAGATAAATATAGCACTGTACTCTGTCACTGTCACAGTTTTGTTTATGGGTCATTAAATTTTGCATACGGGACAAATTTTGCCTTTTAATTTGGATAATTTTGTACATTTTTAAAGTTAAAGTTCCACTGAAATGCACTTTTATGGGTTTTGTTCTATGCAAGATGTTCTACTACTACATCACATGATAGTCATTTCAATCAATGTCAAGACAAGTCATATAACCTTTATTTCTCAAACAGCTGTAACCGAGAACATTCTTTTTTATGTTGCAAGACCGAACATTTCATCCAGTTTGAACAGGTTATTTTAAGTACAGGTACACCTTGGAGGGTACTCTTAGTGGAAGGAAATAATAAATTTTAGTTTTGTTTTGTTTTGTTATATTGTTAATATTCTCTTGATAGTCCTGTCCTAGTCAGTGAGGACTACATCATTGGAAGATAACAGAACTCTGAAGATTCACCAGAAGTGATGTGCCAGTCCTGTTCTCAGTAGCAGTGCAGGAAATATTGCCACAGTTTATATGAAGAATTATGTTAACACTAGCCTCATAGAAAATTGCTTGAATAGGTCCTTCAGCTCAAAATACCCCACTGATCATATATTATACCATGATGTCAATATCCATTTTTGGCTGGAAGCAAAAATTTTGATTTTTTTTCGTATGTATCTTTAAATGCAAGTGAGCTGCTGCACCCTGTGCACCCTTTCCAGAAAAGGGCTGTGCCTTTACAGCTCATGCCTTGGTTACTATGGCAACAATGAACAAAACATCTGCTTGTTTTTGATTATCATCTCTATTGCACTCATGTGACATAAAAAAAAACGTGACATTGAAAACTAAGCAGTTCAGGTGTTTGAGGGAGTTCAGAAACAGTGTTTAATAATACAGAGAATAACTACCTTTGGAGTGCACTTTATGCTTTGTAACATTGCAGATTGTTTTCATGCACAAACCGCAACATTGTACACTAAAGGAAAAAAAGCATGATAGGACCCCTTTCAAATTGAATGTATTATTAAAAATGTTTCCTTTTTTCACCATATAGATGCAAAAAGGCATTGTGGGAAAGATGCTGAAGTTGCAGTTGTTGATGAAGAGGCCATTTTGAGTTTGTTGGAGAACAGTCAGACCTTCCTCCCTCATTCTCAGGGACCCAACCAATCAGCAATACTTGGTACTGAGATTATCACTAACTAATATATCTGTTTACACAAGCAAAAACTTACATTTTCCCTTGATTGTTTTCACACTGCAATTTTTTTCCTTCAATAAAAAAATATTAAAAATTATTTTTTACTGAGATCCAAACATACAGTAAAATATATTACTCTAGAACATATATTTTTAATCTATATTCAGTTTTGTTAGTATTTTTATATTTTATATAACATTCACTAGATTTATGGTAAAAAAAAAATGGCAGTAGGAAAAAGTGAATTTCAAAATACATTATCTTAAAACAAGTCTTAATATATTTTAATGTGTTACGTGCTTTTCAAGTAAACCCATGTTTTGGATATTTATACTGGAAAACACAAAAACCGATGAAGAAAAAAATGCTTTGTGTGCATATCTTTATATTCACAATTTTGTTTTGCATGCGTGTACATACTTCTACAGTACATGCTCTAATTATATTTTCAAGATTACATTTACATTTTCCACAATGTTTTAACAGACAGCAGTCAAGACCAGGCTATGGTTGATCTGTTTGAAGCATTGGCTGATGATGGATTTAGAGCCGACAGGTCCAGAGCAGTGTCCCAGCAGCTGTCAGGGATTTCTAGCTGTGTCTGTAACAGTGATGATGAGGAAGCTGGGCCTGAGCTGGAGAAAGAGGAGTCAGAGCTCAGTAGAATCATGTCCCAAAGATGGGACTGTGACATGCCAGGACTTTCTGCTGGGCAAAGGTCACCAGACTTCCCGTTAGTATTGTTGGAATTGTCTATTATATGCTTTTAATTCTTGTTTGCATTAATTATATAGTTATTTTAACTACATTATACAGTTCTTATTATATGTTATATGGTCAGTCAGGTTCATTTGAGCAGAAAGCTTAACTTATTATACCTTTCTTAACAGGCATTCAGAATAGACCTCTTAGGAAAACACTGGCTGGTCCACAGCAGATGGTGCCTGTGTGATGTTATGCTTTTCGATTATTTAAATTGATGGCATGTTGTTTAATCATAATCTGTGTTGCCTTCCTGCACAGATTATGTATGAAAGAAGCAAACGAAAGCTCCAGTGAGGAGCAGCAGGCCTCATCAGATGAAGAGATATATTGGAAGGGAAACAGTGCTGCTCTTACTGATCTGTCCATTCCACAGTTGGATGGAGCTGCAGATGAGAATAGTGGTAAGTAGAATTTTAATTAATTTAATTTAATAAATTGCAATGAAAAGTATGATTGCTTTTGGTGCAGTGGTATATACATACTTGTTGTCATGTTTCCTGTAGATTCATCACTAACAGACAAGGAATCCCGGACACGCTCATCTCTAAAAGCAACAGACAAGATCCTTGGTAGCAGAAATGTTTTTCCAAATGAAGCTGTTCGTATGGAGCCACCATCTTCTGCTAAAATTGTTATTGAATACAAATGTGCTGAACAGAAACTCAATCAAGAGGATTTAGCAGAAAAGCATTTAAAAAGTGAAGAGGCAAATGAATATTCAACTGGATTAAGAGTTAACAAAGAGGTGCCATATTTTCCACCAGTTAAACACCCAATTCCTTTTAAAACCGCAAATATATCTAAACTTGGTGCTGAAAAAACAGGTGTGCACTCTTTGTACACTGATGAAAACCAAGCCACTGGCCTTAATCAGCCAGATCCTGATGATTCAATTTTTGGAAACTCTAAGCTTGCCCAGAGCATAAAAAATTCTACCGGTATTAAAAATGTGGAAAATAACCATTTATCCATCCCAGAGAATCACAAGGGCTTCTTTGTATGTTACTCTGAGCTGATGAACTGTCCCACCAAGACTGAAATGCAACTCAATCCAAATGACTGCAGAAGACCAGTGATAAGTTTTGACCAGACACAAAGCCCTATGGAAGAGAGCCAAGCTTTGGGCCCTCAAGAAGATGAGACAGCACAGGATAAAAAAGAGGAAGATGTCAGCAAACTGAAAATAAGATATGAGGATTACCAAGAGAATAAAACTGAGAGGACCATTGTGGCACAACAGGAGGCACACTACAAATTTTTCCCCAGCGTTATTCTGTCTAATTGCCTGTCCAGACCCATCAAGAAACCGACTGGGAGCAAGACTGGGGATGGTTGCTCTACCTTAGACCATCCTGAACAGCGAAGGTCAAGGTTAAAGTTGATCAAAAAGAAAACAACGTTGGGTCAAAAAAGGGTAAGTCCTGTGAGGACCCCTTCTCCTATGAAAGAGGAAGCCACAGCACTTCTTTCCAACGCTCTAGGCTCTATTAACCAGAAAGAAACGTATAAGGAGGTTGACATGGAAACGTCAGATCCACCAACCATTGAAGGTTTGATTAAGAACTCAGTAGAGGATAAACTTGCAGATATTCCTTCCAAAATCTCTTGCACCAAGGTGTCCAGTTTACCAGGTAGCAAATATACCTTGCGGGCAAAAAGGAAAATGAGTTACAACAGTGAAAATGGAGATCAGGCAAGTTCTGGTTCTTTCAAACAAGCTTTGGTGCAACATGAAGGCCTTAAGGGCAAAGATCATGTCTTTAGCCAAAAAAAGAGGAAACTGACTAAAAAAGAGCCACCAATCATCATTAAATATATAATCATTAACAGATTCAAAGGTCAGAAAAACATGTTAGTGAAGATTTCTAAAATTAACGCTGATGAAACTTGCACCGTTTTAACACCAGAAAAGCTTGCCGAATACAAAAAGCTCGCTCCTCTCAAAGAATTCTGGCCCAAAGTGCCAGAGTCTACAGCAGTGAAGTACCCGCTACTTGAGCCAAAAGTAAAGAAGTGTCCCAAACGAAAGGCTAAGGTGAACCCAGTGTCAAAGAGGGCCGGCACCTCTCCAAAATCTAGGTGTCCACGAGCTGGTCAGACTAGGAGGGTGAAGCATGCAAAAGCACTGATAACTTTACCGAAATTACCCCCTCCATGGCCTTGTTATAATGAGTTCACTGATGACTGCTGTACAGAGTATTCTGATGTGATGGTGGAGTTGGGTTATTTGTCAGAAAGAGCCTCCAGTCCTACTGATTCAACCCCACCTAGATGTTGGTCTCCTACTGAGCCCTTACTGGGATCAAATTCAAATCTAATAAACCCACATAATGATCCATGTCTAGGTTCATCCTCTCAAGTACTAGCTCCAAAACCATACCACAGAGGTCTTTGGGATAGAAGCAGAACACCCAGGTCTAAAAAGACTTCTGCTACCAGCCCAAAAAGACAAACGAATACTACAACAAAGTCAGTGAACAAAGATTCAGTGACAACTGTGGATTCACAGAGGAAAGGTATTCGAGCGGCTTCAAGGAGACATAAGAAACGTTGTAAAAGTATTGAAGGAATTGTTCTGGAAGATGACACATCTACCTCTCAGAAAGACAGGATGCTGAATGAAAAGCAAGTCCCAAGAAAAAAACAGGTCCAACGTGAGAAGAGTGATCATTCACAGGCTCCACATTCAGTTAACAATGCACCTATTACTTCCTCATCTGATGACTTAACTCCTTATCAACATCCCAGTTCTCTAAAAAGCAGTCAAGAGGACGTTACTATCAGTTGTTCAGGCTCTCAAACAGAGGTCACCAGCACTGGAAAAAAATCAAATCAAGATTTTTTTGTCTTCAATACTATTGCCTCAAATGACTCACAGATTGTCTTCAATCCCTGTATTGAAAAATCTCTAAATCATATTCTTTCCCCATCCACCAAGATGGTTGGACATCCATGTTCCGTCATCACATACAGCAGTTCCAATTCAAAATCACAAAATATGAGTCAAGATGGGACTATCACAAAAAATCTATATAAATTCAAATCAGAGGTCTCTGGCCATGAGGAAAACCCCAGAACTGTACAGCATTTGCAGTCAACCAGAAAAACGACCAAAAAATCAAGAAAACCGCAAACAAAAAAGAAAGATACCATAACTTTATTGGAGTCTGTCGATTGTAGATCCTCCCTTATGCCCTCTGCTAAGAGTGCAATTAAAGCTGGATTTCACACAGGTCTTACATTGTCCTCAGACCCTAAAATTGACGAAATGTGTGTTCCTGAGTTGCCTTCTGGGCTCGCTGTCTTGAAGGAACTTCTCCAGAAGAGGCAACTCAAGGCAGGAAAGGAACCACATGAAAGCGATCATGTGACTCAGGATATGTCTTCTACCTGTCAACCTACAAATATTCCCAAAACAGCCAAATCTAAAACCGCTCATTCATCAACATCAAGAAAACCAAGGGATGCAAGAACTAAAGTGCCAAAAGAGTTACAGTTCAAAATCAGAAGTAATAAAATTAAACCGGATGATTTGAGAATTGACCATCTTTCATCAGATGACAGTCCTGTGTTTTTCTCTGACCCTGGCTTTGACAGCTGTTGCTCTATTGAAGATAGCTTGTCCCCAGAGCTCGCAGACAATTACAGCTTTGATATCAATGCCATTGGGCAAACAGAGTTCTCCAGTCTTTATTCTGGTAACCAGTTTGTGTTAACTGATAGGAACTTGCCTCAGAAGTTCCTCAGTGATGTCAGTCAGGAGGCAATCAATGCCCTTGTTGGGTTAGGCGACAGGACACAAAAGTTGTTTGATGTTGATGAGAGCAGCAAGCATGAACAGGACTTGCATAAGTCTGGGGCTCTTAGTCCAGAACTGTCATTTCGTGAAAGTGGCAAAGTTTATCCCAATAAGGTATCTCTTGATTCAGAAAAGATCTTTAGCAAAGATTGGGGGGGCTGTTTAGGTAAAATCCATGGCCTCAGCCACTTTCAGGACTTTCACTGTGAAAAGAAAGATGTGTTGCTTGACCCAGAGCCCTTTTCCCCCCTTACTTCTGCTTCTTTTGCTTATAATGGTGTTTCCCCAAATAGTGATCCCCTAGATGCCAGTTCAGCAACACCAAGCAGTTCCCCACAGTCCATCAACTCGCTGTACCAGCTGAAAAATGGAGGTCAGAGTTCAAAGAGTGGGGGAACTCACATTCTCAAACCTCTCATGTCTCCACCTACACGGGAAGAAATCTTAGCTACTCTGATGGATCTGGACCTCTCAGAAGCCACCTACCAGGAACCATTCTGCAGTGACCCATCAGATGCACCCTTGAAGCCAAGGTAACATTTATGATGGAAGCCCCGCATGGGTTTTGTGTTTTTATATTCTTTTAAGTTGGACTATGAAATCAAAAGAAGTGATCCATAACCTTTTCACTGTTGTTGTTCCAGGGGGGTTGGTGGTCGGAAGTTGATTTTGGAAACCAGACTGGCGAATGAACTAGTTGAATTTCATGGAGACTTATCTCAAAACGGCTTACAATTTTGGAAAATTGCATTTTCTGCAATGACAAATCAAGCCTCTGCACCAGACAATGGGTGTAAATCCTCTATATTGACCAAGGATCAAAACCCATTTTCTGGCAGTGATCAAAAAGTGATTATGCTTCCCTGCAAGTGTGCCCCAAGTCGAGAACAGGTGCAGCTCTGGCTGCAAGCCAAAAAACAGTACGAGTGCCTTCAGAGTGATGGGAAACAAATGGGTGGCCAGACAACTGTGGAACTTGGAACATATGACAGGACCTCACCTCAAAATGAGGACTCTAATTTACCTTCCTCAGAGAATCATAAAACGTGGAAGAAAAAAGATGAAAAGTCTTCAGAGTTGCAGAGTATCAGTAGGAATGGCTTAAGTTTACCACTCCATATTTCACCAGTTAATGCAGCTTCATCTAACAGTAGCCCTAAGAGTACGAAATGCATCTTGGACATAGAGACAAACAAAGGTTGTCCGATCACTTCTCCAAATTCTCCTGATCTTTCTACATTGCAACAAAGGCCTGCTGAGAGTAAACAAGAGGAGGACAAGGAGGATTTGACTGATGTATTACAATCCCCCAGCTTGAACCTGTCTCAAAATATCAATGACACATCACTTGAAAATGTACAGCCAAAGGACCTCTTGAGTCCATCAGTTTTTCCTGTTAAAAACCTAGATTCTGATGTCAAATGCTCTTACCTGCTCCATAGCACACCTGTCCACCAGAGAAGCTACATTGATGACGATGGGTCTAGCTACAGTCCAATAAGAAATGAAGGTATAGTTTTATGTTTTTTTTCTTGAAAGTTTGAATGTTTTAACTAAGTTGTTCAGCTCTGTTATCTATAATGGGTTCCCAAACATTTTCATACTGGAACCCACCTAATGATGACAGGTAAATTATTTTGTGTCGATGGGGTTGACATAGGGCTTGGAAATAAACAATATCACATCAAGATCATTATAAAATTTGTCAAGGACTATGATAAGCTGTGGACATTTTACTCAATTGGGATTAATCTATCAGTCTATAAGAGCAGAAATAAATGCGACAACAGCCAGTCAGTGCATGACGCTAATAGGGCTGCGTGTTCTGCATTTTTCTTTGTGAATGAATGGCATAGTTTTGTCTGCTACACAACCAAGGACATGAACACATGCATTTTATTACCATAGCTACTCTGACAGTCACTTTTCACTGTTTAATTTGAGAAAAGCTACCGTCAAATACACAGTGAAACTCAAAGATCTTCATGGCAAACTGCCAAAATAAAAGTTTGGTTTAATTTGAAGAAATTATGACATAAATATTACTATTGTACTATTACTATTACAATTATAGTTGTAAAATAATTATATTTTCTTTTGCTGATAAGATCAGGAAAATTGTGAATAAGTCATGCTTACTTGTCTTATGCAGTCATGCTTACTAGACTTTATATATTTCCAAAAAAGATGACTACTAAGCTTTTACATTTATCTTCTCATTGAAAAACGCTTTTGGATCTGTTTTTGTACAGACATAGAGCCCAGATCACAGCGACTACATCAGAAGGGTAACATAAACAAAGATGCTTTACGGAGAGTTTTGCTTACCACACAAATGAAGGTCAGATGAATTTATTCAGATGAAAGTTAATGAATTTATGAATCTCCTGAAGTTTCAATCTTATAATCCTTTAGTATTTTATAGGGTTTTTATAGCATATGCATTATATCCCTTACAGAATCAGCTTACCACTATGAATGTTCCAAAGAGAGAAAACTCCCAGATTGAGGGACCATCAATCTGTAATTCATATGGTTTTAAAGTCAGTATGCAGAACTTGCAGGAGGCCAAAGCATTGCATGAGGTAGGATCTTCTTTTGACTGTGTTTTAGTAAGAACTGCTTTCATTAAACTGAGTGATTAATCAAACTTACATAAACACGTAAAATATAGTTTTAACAAAGGGGGGAAAAAAAGCTTTGTCTTCATGTCATGTCACATGGTTAGAAACTCAAGTTTATTTTTATGGGATTTCAACTGATCTCATCTTACGTTTTTATCTCCCTGCTATAGGTACAGCACCTCACAATGATAAGCATGGAGCTTCATGCAAGGACTCGTCGTGACCTTGAGCCTGACCCTGAATTTGACCCAATTTGTGCTTTGTTCTACTGCCTCAGTTCTGATGTCCCTCTCCCAAATTCTGACACTACCCAGATGACAGGTGCCATTGTCATTGATAAAGATTGTTGTTCTTCAGCTCAAGGTGAGATTGGTGTTGTGTTTATTACTGATGTGTGTACCAATTGTAATTGTAAATTACAAAAAAAAAAGGAGCACCTAACTATAAATCAACTTAATGTTGATCAGGGATGTGTTTCCTGTACAACATAACTTGCTGATTAACCACCTTAGTATGATGCATTGTAGTGGAAATTAACTAGCTAGTCACGACTGTTTCCCAAACGCTGTTGCATCTCTAATTTTTGAACCACATTAGTTCAAGGGCCATTGTTAATGACGTCACATGCATGTGGTAGAGTAATAACTTGTGCCAAGTAATTGATTTGAGATCTCCGAGATGCTGTGTGTGAGAAAACTGGAAGCCTTTCTGAATGTATTTAAAGGTGCACTAAGCGATTTTTTTTTTGCCAAACAATGTTGATATTTGAAAGCACCAAAACGAACACGCCCATACCCCAACAGGACCTCGCCCCTATTTTGAAATATCTACACGTACGTACACAACCAAGGCAACGACAATCGCAGAAGCAAGCGAAGATGACACACAAGCATATTCAAACAAAAGCCAAAACGGATAAGTTGTGTGAAATGAAGCAAAATCAATGTTACTCACCTATCAAGAAGAAACAACGTAACCTCGGCGTCCAATTCGAGCCCTTCCGCTCCTTGAGTTCTCTCCACTGCTGGAAAGCTGCTCCGATATTTACGCGGGTCCTACCTCTTGCTTAATCGTAACCCTTCTTTTTAATGTTTTGTTTCTCTGATATTTCTCTCTATCTATAGTCGATCTGCTAATATCCATCCTGTGCACTCAAACTGAGCGCTCTCTTCTCTTTGTCATTACAAGACACGCCCCCTTACTGCTGATTGGCTACAAGTGTGTTAAAATCGCTTAGTGCACCTTTAAGCAATAGGCTATGGCTATTTTAGAAAGGTACATTTAAAAGATGAAAAATTTAATCAATAGATTATGAATAAGTTATTGCTATTGTGTGTATAATATGCAATCATGTAATCAACAAAAGTAACTAGTCTGATTGCAAGTATTTTAAAATGTGCCCTTAATTTTTGGAATCTGATTACGTAATCCATATTACATGTAATTAGTTACTACCCAGCACTGGGGAAGAAAATTACATAATCCTTAAACGGTAAGATAGAGGATTAAAATTAGGAATGTTTTGTTTGTTATTTTGGCCTGGTCAGCTCCCAAACCTAAACTTCCAAAAAAACAAACAACAACTTCATTATTGTTTTGCTAGTCATTGTCTATGAAAGTCCTTTCATGTTTCTCCTTTTCTCTAGACAGGGCGTAACACTTAGTTAGCACATAGTGTTATAACTAGATTTATTGCACAGCATTCTACAAGGAATAATTCTAAAGACAACATCTGAACAATGTCTTGAGGTGTGGTAACCATAGTATAAGCGGAATAATTCAGCAACCTGTCGTCATTAATCCCTATGTATAAAATTAACTTGTATATGCTGATATTGGTAAAATCTTTATTTAAATGTTAAAAAATGAAAATTGTCATACATTTTTATTCTTGAAGTTCTGAACTTATATGGTATTTTTTTTCCTGTTGAACACAAAAGTGAAAGTTTGAAGTAGCTCTTCTCTACAATAATATGTCATTGTGACCATTCTATAATGCACCAAACAGGACAAAAAGTCACTGAATATATTTTCTTCCACTACCATTCAGGAGTTGCACTCAAATTAAACTTTGGGAGGTGGGGCGATAATGATCTGTAAATATAAACTTAAAGACTATAGACAACACACAACAGAGTCCAAAAATAGTATTCTCATTTTGTGTTCAACAGAAAAAAAAAACAGCACACTGGTTTAAAAAAATATTAGGGTGAGTATGTTTTTACTGAATTATGATGATCATGATGATGATGATGATGATGATGATAAGCTATACACCCAGTACAGCAAATAAACTCATGAACTCACCAACCCCACCACCATTAGGTATGACCCAGACATTCTGGTTGGATATGAGGTCCAAATGCACTCTTGGGGGTACCTACTACACCGTGCATCAACGCTCGGTGTAGACCTGTGCCAGCAACTCTCCCGTGTGCCAGGTAAGGTTAGCTCATTTAGCAGTAGTGTACCTGTTTATTTCCTGTTTTTGCTTAATTTCACCATCAGAAATAGTTCCAAACAAGGCCATAGCAGAACTGGGGCCCGTTCTTCGTACGTCGCTTATTACATCCGAGATGAAATGTCACATCCAAGATGATATCATCGCGCTAATCAGGATCTGGCTAATTCGGTTCTTCGAATGCACCTGTTGTTGATGATTAGTATGGCTGGATTGAGTTATCTGAGATAATTGCTCGTTCATGGGTTGGTTTAAAAGGGGCTATGTATCGATACTCGAAACCACGATTAGCAATGCAGAAATTGGCTGGCGGCAAGACAGCAATGTAATGACATCATATAATTAAAAAAGACAGCTGACGAAAAACTTGACCAATTTCTGGACTTTTATTAGGAAACACATAGGCAAACAAAACTACATACATTTTATAATAGATAATTGAATTTTTTTATTTTAGTTTTTATATTATTTTAATTCTTTACATGATTCCCAATTATTTATATTCACACAGCAACTCCAGGATGAGCTTCGAAGAACCAAACAATTCAAGATCATGCCAAATCGTCAACAATCAAATCCAGCTAACTGAGTTAGCGACGTACGAAGAACGGGCCCCTGTTGTGCCTTTCTAAGCAACACACAGCTTTTAATACTAAATTATTATTTTTTCTTAATGAATTGAGTGTGCCAATGATTCAGTGACCCATTCATACAGACAGTCACTTGGTTTGTTTCTGAATGCATCAACCATTCAAATAAATTGAATGAATGAATTACTCACTCATTAAGACATACTAAAGGTTTTAGTTTTATATTTACAGTATAATTTCATTAAAGGAGACATATTATGCCCCTTTTTACAATATGTAATATAAGTCTCTGGTGTCCCCAGAATGTGTCTGTGAAGTTTCACCTGAAAATACCCCACAGATCATTTATTATATCATTTTAAAAATGCCTATTTTGAGTGGAAGCAGAAATGTAAATGAGCTGCTGCTTCCTGCTCCCTTTTTCTGAAAAGAGCTCGTACCTGCTAAAAACATCTGGGTTGTTTCTGATTTCATGTTTCATGTTTATCGCGCTGAAATCATGCATTTTAAACCATATTAGTTTAAACTTCTGATATACGGTTTTCTGAGCGCACACATCCGAAGCACATGTACAGAAAGCGGCTGTCACAGCATGTGAGTACTAAACTAAGTTCTCATTCACACACATGAGTTCAAAAAACAGTCGGTTATGTCTGTGAAGGTATACAGCTGGGAAATAAATTGCATGTTTATTTTAGATCTGTGTGGCAGTAGTGTAATATACAGTAAATAAATCAATAAATCATCTGCTCTCTTGTCTCCTCTGAGGCTGGGACTCTAAATAGTATTCTGTGCAGCCAAAGATAGAACAGTTAACATGTTTTGCTCAAACTTTCGCCATGGCATTAGAGCTGGTACACTGTTGTCGCTTGCGAAATCAAAATGACGGTGCCATGGTGGGTGGAAACTCACAGATTAAGGGGCGGTAATATCATAATGAGATCCCTTTGCAACGTCACCAAGGGAGCGAAATCAGACGCGTTCGTTTTTTCAGACGCTTGCAGAAAAAGACTTGCCAAAACAAAGTTACTGGGTTAATCTTTTTCACGTTTCCTTGGTTGGTAGATGCACTGGGGACCTGATTATAGCACTTAAAACCTGGAAAAGTCAGATTTTAATGATATGTCACCTTTAAAAAAACATATTTTGTGGAGTTGAGGCAGGCCAGGTCTTCTGCCAAATTTGTGTAATTTTTTTCTTATCCCATTTCTCAAATGTTGTATTTGATGTCATTACTTTAACAGGAGATGCAAAAGAAAATCGGTTCATGGCAGAGAAAGATGAATATGGTGCAGACACTATGACGGAAATCCATATTGTTGGACGTGTTGTCCTCAACATGTGGAGGATTATGAAGACTGAGGTTCCCTTGAAATTCATACCCCAAGAATGCCAGAGCTAACACTGTTTGTCTGAGAGTGTTTTATCAAGTGCTTCATGTATGTTTTCAGGCTGCATTGAATAACTACACTTTTGAGAATGTGGCTTTCCACCTCCTGCATCAGCGCTTTCCTCTCTACAGCCATCGCACGCTCTCTGACTGGTTTGACCACAACACACACCTGCACAGGTGGGAATTGTTCTCACATCTGTCAGATGCCTATTACTGGTCTTGTTGCAGGGTTGTTCCTATGAATATCATTGCTTCGTTCATCTTTCAAATAGTTAAATTCAGAATTGAATACTAGCATACTGATTACTGCATATTGTACCATATACTGTATACTGTATGGTACCAGCTAAAAGTATGTAAAATGTTTAGCATTTAACAATGTACTGCAAATAATTAACTTACATATGTTTGTCTTAATTTTGCTACAAAACAGAAATACTATCTAAAAATTTTCTGTAATAAACGCTACTAAATTTTGTTAGAATAATGCATAAAACAGCAACCAAAACAACATATAAAAAGATTAATGTTGGTGCAGATAGCCTCGTGGGCAGCACGCCTACATATAGCAGCTTTGGGCGTCCTGGGATCGAGTCCTGGTTCGCTGACCTTTCCCAATCCCATCCCCCTCTCTCTCCCACTACAATAATAATAATTCAGTTCAATAATAGAACAACTCTAGAATCTTAAGCAGTTTTCTTCTCAAATATGTGTTGTTTTATGACTTAATATCATGTTGAAAATAAATGTTAAAGGTCATTGCATTTATTTTATATTTTTGTACGGTCACTGTGTACGTGATATTTTCTGGTCATACAAACAACATACTGTTTATTACATTTTGTGTGTGTGTGTTCTGTTGTTTGGGTCAGGTGGAAAGTGGTGGATCATTATGTGAGCCGTGTGTGTGGCACAGTCCAGTTGCTCCAGCAGCAGGATATTATTGGCAGGACAAGTGAGCTGGCACGCGTGTTTGGAATCCAGTTCTACCACGTGCTAACCAGGGGGTCACAGGTAAACATCCATCTGAAACCTGTCACACAGATGCCTTTAGCTCTCTGTCCGATCACAATATACAATTGAGATCAAAATTGGTAAATATGAGTAAAGAAGTCTTAAATAAATAAATCTGCATTGTGTGTCCTTTTTATATTTCATTAAAAGATTCCACAAAAGTCTAACTTTTCATTGAAGTAAAACGATTGAAAATGATGGGAAAATCTCATTATGAAATGTTTTTATCCAATGCACAGTTATTTGCCACTTTTTGCGACTTCCATTTGCCAAGATCTTCTCTTATAATGCCTGATGTGGTTGGAGAACCCCTGGCAAGGTGTTCCATACAGAATATTTCCAGATCCTTCCAATTCCCAAGTCCATGTTGGTGGTATATGGTACAATATGCTCTTCAGTTCACCCTACTAATTTTCTATAAGGATCAGGTCAGGGAAATGGGATGGCCATGGCAGAACCTTCATTTTGTGTTCAGTGACTCATTTTTGTGTTTGATGTGTGTTTTGGATCACTGTCCAGACGGAAGACCCAGCCATGGCTCATTATAAGATTTGTAGCAGAGGCAGTGAGGTTTTAAATTTTTTTTTTTTATCTGTTGGTATTTGATAGAATCCATGATGCTATGTATCTGAACAAGATGTCCAGGACCTCCATGAGAAAAACAGGCCCACTGCATTGAAGGTCCAGCAGTATATTAAACCATGGGCATGGAGAATTTTATCCCTGTGTATCGTTTTAAATCCATATTATGTATGCCAAAAAACTCCTTTATGAGTTTCATCTGACCATAGAATCCTGTCCCATTTGGAGTTCTAGTAGTGTCTGGCATATGCTGGAGTTTGTTTTTGGATGAGAGCAGAGGATTTTGTCTTGAATCCCTCCCAAACAACATGTTGCAATTTAGGTGCTGTTTAGGAGCAGGAGTCTGTGGTGGCCAATCTTTCACAATTTAAGGCTGATGAATCTTTGTAATTTTTATCCTGGAATATGTACATAGGTACATCTTCCAACATGGTTGTTGAAGAAATGAAAATCTACTCCTAAAATTATTTGCTTATTTAAGTCTAAAGAGTATTTGCTTATTTAAATTCAGACAGCGTCTTTTATTTTGGCTAGCTTGGCAGTGTATAATATTAATGCTGTCAATTGATAAAAATGTAACTAATTGCGCATTTCTGTAATAAATTGCACATAACACTTTGTATCATTGAACATAAAGATGGTATATTTTATATATTTATTTAATAGCATCTTTTAACCAAATAATAATACTTATACTGATGTTAGATTTTTTTTTTTTTTATAAATTTCTGGGAATTAAATGAGTGAATATTCCCATTCAACATTACAGTAAAATTTGTTATATACACTGAACAAAACTATAAACGCAACACTTTTGTTTTTGCCCCCATTTTTCATGAGCTGAACTCAAAGATCTAAGACTTTTTCTATGTACACAAAAGGCCTATTTCTCTCAAATATTGTTCACAAATCTGTCTAAATCTGTGTTAGTGAGCACTTCTCCTTTGCCAAGATATGTGAACAATATTTGAGAGAAATAGGCCTTTTGTGTACATAGAAAAAGTCTTAGATCTTTGAGTTCAGCTCATGAAAAATGGGGGCAAAAAAAAAGTGTTGCGTTTATAATTTTGTTCAGTGTCATTTTTAACATTTAATAAGCATAAACTGCTTTTAAAAAATGTATTTTAAATAAACTTAATTCAAGTTTGTTGTATATATTAATATAGTAATGTTTCTGAGTTATTTTTTTTCTCTAGTAAGTTTATTTTGCGCTTTCATTTTCACAATTTTCTACCAGTTAAGACAATTTTTATAAAAAAATGTTTATGCGAGGATCGATCCTCTCAGAACAACATTAGTATTGCTTGTCACTGAGATGAGCATGTTACTGACAGTTAAAAAAAAAAAAGGCAGCCAGCATGAAACACGCAAGCATCCTGTGGATTTCACGTGTGATGACCATCAGTGGCTGATCATAGTCACTTTTACATTTACATTTAGTCATTTAGCAGATGCTTTTATCCAAAGCGACTTACAAATTAGGACAATGGAAGCAATCAAAATCAACAAAAGAGCAATGATATGCAAGTCAGTGCTATAATACGTCTCAGTTAGCCTAACGCAGTACACGTAGCAAGGTTTTTTTTTAATTATATAATAAATTAAAAGAAAACGGATAGAATAGAGCAAGCTAGTGTTAGAGGCCTTTTTTGTTAGTTGTATAATAAATGAAAAGAAAACGGATAGAATTCAAACAGAATAGAGAAACTAGTGTTAGTTTTTTTTTTTTTAAGAAAACAAGCAGTTTTTTATAGAATAGAATTGAAGAATCTGAAGTAATGAATTTAGGTAAAGGGGTGCAAAGCCAGTGGTGGTCTTGTAGACAAACATTAATGCCTTGAATTTTATGCGAATTATTTTTCCATTTTTAATATTAATACTTTTATACTTATTAATGTTAAAAACAGTTGTGCTATGTAATATTTTTTGTGAAAACCGTGATGTATTTTTTTTCCAGGATTCTTGAATTACAATGAATGAAAAAAATAACAGCATTTA